TACGTACGACTTATGATCGGGCATGCATGTATCATTAGATTCTGAAGTTGCTGTTATTTATACCACCTCAGGAAGCGGTTATCTAACATTGAGTGGGCTAGAACGTGGAAATGTGATTTCCAGAACTCTCAATGGAACTGTTTTGTTAATTCCAGTCAGCCACCTGTAATAGAAACTGTATTTAAGATTTTAAGCATGTGATACGTGATTGGACCCTATATTGTAGGCACATTTTATACAATGATGTGGCTGACACTATTACAGGCGGGAACAGTTATCTCACTTATATGCCATACGATCCCCTTTTTATATATATAAAGATTAAATGTCCACTAGGAGTGAAGGCCAACAAATGTTCTAACTTCTAACGTGTTCAGATTTTGAGGAGCATGCTGCACATCTAAGTGTATGCAACTATGAAAAACACCTGCAACAACACCAGAAGGTACCGAAACCCTTTCTGCTGCAGAAGACGCCACACTGCTTAGTGCTTACTGAATTAAGCCAACCAGAGACATTTCTTATCCTGCTATTGACAGACAGTATGATAGGTGTTGGCGGGGGGACAAGAAGAGTGTGGATTTGTTGAAAAAGAAGAAGCAGACCACCATAGCATAGAAAATATGGGTGCAAGTGTTGTTCCATTAACAGGAGTACTCTGTAGCTGAACCCTGTCTCACAGCCAAAAGGGGATAGTACAAAAATATGGCATGTTCCATTAGTTGAAATACTACCTACCCATTGACTAAAGTTACTAAAACATATGTCCTGTATCACCTCTTAGAAAACCATATTGCATTAGAGAATGAAAAATGCCTAGAGCATAAGCCAACAACAAAAAATATGTTACAACATTAAGAGGCACAAAATACACACACTTGGAGTCACACCTCGATGGAGCTTGTAGAGGTGGACATGAGAAGAGCTCCAATCATTGTTAAGGCTTCAGTAGCCTTAAATAAGCTACTGAAGCCCCAAACAAATTGAGGCTAGCTGTCTGATTGGGTTACTATCGCTTGAAGCGGGTGGACGTTTGTTTTACTTCAAAAAAAAAGCTACTGAAGCCTTTAAGGAGGCTATTTGGCTTGAACGTCTTGTTTTTTAAATTGGATATATCGCATATTCAAATTAGGGGTGGTTCCTTAACCAGGCCGGTGAAATACCCAATCAAAATTGATATATGAAGGGTACCAGAGTCCAACTAGGGCACAGTTCTTGTAACTTAAAATGATATCAGACTTTCGCTTCCAGTTTAATAGGGTACTTGAACCGGTTTAGGAGCAACACTGGGTATGACCAGAATTGTGGTGGGAGGATATGTGACCAGGAACTGAACCAGAATTGGCGTATGTCTCACCTAGTTAAGATAACTAGGCAATAGTTGGGTTATCCAAAGACTACACATCCATAGCAAGTTGGTAACGGAGAGGTATAATGGGACTTCAGAATCATGAATAAACTGTGTTTCCATACAAATTTAGTTTGTCGGAATGAAAGACAAAAACTAGAAAGAAGACATAACACCCAACATACGTGCGCATCATAAAGTTGCTGTTTGTTTGAGGTGCATACATAAATGTGTTCTGAATATACAGATAGCCCAACAGTCTCATATAATTGTACTAGTATAAAAAGCTGTGAACATAAATTGGGAAACAAAAAAAGTCCTCTTGATAATGCTCAAAGATTCTAGTGAGAAGGAAAACTTTTTACATGGAAGAGCTTTTTCTGTGTAAACCATAATTTTCGTCATAATGTGAAAATTATGAGCACACGGTATGCGGAGTTCAAATCCAAGAAAAAGTAGAAAAGCAACATATATCTCCGATAACTAGAATTAAAAAAGCCAATATATAGTCTACTAGTTATAATTGACTATAGGGAATCAACCAAAAACTCAACGGCGTTAAAATGAAAACAAAAATACAATTATCTCAAAAAAGGAGAAACTCAGCATCCTCACATTTCCCATTGTGAAACAAACACGCCAACATAATGTTGTAGATATGAACATCGGGTTTTAAGCCTCGACTTTGTAAATTTCCAAATAATTGTACGGCCTGATCTGAACACCCGTTCTTGTAATATCCATTCATTAAAATGTTATAAGTGAAAATATCAGGGTCACATCCTTTATCTATCATGGTCTGTAAGAGTTCCAACGCATTGTTCAGTTTTCCGTGTAAGCAGTATCCATCTATCAAAGCAGTGTATGTGATTGCATGAGGTTCCAGACCTTCTTGAATCATCATATCTATGAGTTTTGCAGCACTGCCAAAAGTAATTTATAATAAGTAATATAAGCCCATGAGCAATGTTTGGTAGTTTGAAAAGAAATAAAGAAGCACGAACCACGTCCTCCTGAATTGATTTCCCGAGCAACGGGCAATGGTAGCAACCTTCAAGTTCTACCTGAAACTATGAGGTGGCCTCCCCCGTGAAGGGGAGGTCAGTATTTTGAAGCATTTGAAAAGTACAATGACAACTATACTGAGTATAATCAATGTTTCAATTTCTAAGACCCTCAATCTAGGGTATTATTAAATATAGTTAACCCGTTCATTTAATATCGATTCACCGTGCTAGAGTCCTACTTCTAGTCACCTTTATGTTAGTCTAGAGTCCTGCTCATAATCACCGCTATTTACATCGGTCTAGAGCTCTGCTTATAATCACCGTTATTTACGTCAGTCCAGAGCCTTGCTCATAATCACCGCTATTTAGGTCGGTCCAGAGCCCTGCTCATAATCACCGCTATTTACGTCGGTCCAGAGCCCTGCTCATAATGACCGCTACTTACGTCAGTCCAGAGCCCTGCTCATCATCACCGCTACTTACGTCGGTCCAGAGTCCTGCTCATAATCACCGTTACTACGTGTTAGAGCCTGCTCTAGTCATGTCGTTTAATTATCTAAACAATTCCGTGGCCTATACTCTGTTCATAAAGTCCACCTTAAATATCTCTTAAGGCTACTTAGGACATATTCCTTACAATTCAATTTCTTAGGATTAGTCCCATCAATTATTCAACTAACATTTCCGATTAATATTTCGATACTAGTCGTTTGTTCATTTCAATTTAATTCCTCATCAGATGTACGCATTCCTACCCTTGTACTAACGCACAGAAAGACTATTTCCGGATGATAGATTGGGGCAACTTACTAAAATCGCTTGCCACTTGGCTTCAAAGAAACTTTACTCAAAATGAAAGCAATCTTTCAAAACCGGCTTTTTTTTTCTTTGGGATAAAATACAATTTAAGAGAACTTTTTTTGGACTCAGTCAGTATATGAAAGGAGTACAAAGCTACACAGAATATTTTAACCTAATCAGCAGGCTCTCTGCAAGTTGTACTCATATTCCAAGGTCTAATAAATACTTTCAAAGAAGAGGAAACCCAACATATTTTAATTAGGTGGAGATTGGAGAATATTGACTAATGTGTGTACAAAGACAGGCGTGGTTACAATGTTACATAATGATGCTTGGTGCAGTGTAAGGAAACGTAATCCAGGGGACCATAGAAATTGCTAAGAGTAATGCTAGATGCCCTTCATCCTCAAACACAAGAATTCTCTTCATGCTTAAATTAAAGGGCGTTGAGATATTACGCTTTTAGTGCCAATATATGCTCACAGCAACTCCAAGCCATCAGACATGGATGTTGCAGAGATGTTAGTTGCAGATCAATACATATTTCAGAGATGATTTGCACTATAAAAACTGTCTGTTTCATCTCAGTCATGGACTGCATAGGCAAATCACATGAAAGTATGAACACTCGTATATTTTGACATGGAAATTTTAGGCAGCAGAACACAGATAGCTGAGATCTTGATCAGGTACTTCTAATCGCATATCATTATATTAGCTAAAATTTCTGAAGTTAATTCACACTAAACACTAAGGCCTTTGTTTCGCAGAAGCAAGAGAAGGAAAGAGCAAGAGTGTTGTGTGCTTGCTTGGCTGTAGACTCATGCCAACTCCTCATATCTCACTCCCTCTTGGGGTCTGCCAGAGGAGTTAATTGGTTTTCTCTTTATTGCCTTTCAATTTCTTTTTTGGTTTTATTAAAAAGAGAAATACCAAGATACAATGAGGTGCACAAAAACCTTACCTCGTCTAATATATGCAAAAGGATCTGAAATTAGTAAAACCGAAAGCATCTAAGTTTAAAGCACCCTGAACTCGAGGGGAGCAAATGAAGGAAAAGAGAGCAATTAGTCAGGCTCCCCAGCTCTGCAGACTTGGCTAAAAGGTGTGCCGCTATGTTGACCTCCCGATAACAATGTCAAAAGCTGATTTCACATCCCTGCTTTTTCAAGGTTTTCTTAATCAAAATACACTATTATTCAACAATAATGCTCAAAAATAACAATTTCATATGCTACTCTAAAATAATACGTAGTATTTCTTCCTTGATCCATTTAGCCAGACATAGCATGTTTCTAAACTCTCCCGTTTTCATTCCTTCCCTCCCCTTTACTGATTATGACTATGAAGAAACATAACCCCCATGCAAAGATTAAAATTACATTATTTTTTCTATATTTTCTAATGATTTAAGAAGCAAATACTCAAAATTGGAACTTTGATATTTACCTCTAGAAGCTCTTACCGTGCACCACCCTATTTACTATTATTTCAGCCAAAATAATTATGTTCATTGTAAAACTTTTCTCAAAGAGGAGAAATTTCCCCCCCAGAATAAATAGATATGAATCATGCTGAAGATAATGAATGACATAAATACTAGCAAGCAACTCTCCAGATGTGTAGTATAAGAATATTTAACAAACTACTAAACCAGTTTGCATATTTGTTGCTAAAATATGGTTCACTCGGAATAAAAAGTAAAAGATCGGCATACTGTGCCCCAAGTCCAACCCCCTAAACAACAAAAGAAAAATCACTTTCACAACAATCTCCACAATAAGTTATGCATTATAATTACATCATATGTGAAATCGATATGAACTCAAAGTAATTGAGTTCATCGTGCACATGCATACCGGTCCGATAGCACTCATAGCAGTAACTACACTCCACCATAAATGTGCCTATTTGTTGATAAATTTGTTCAAAGATGGATGTATCGAAATGTACATGAATACTGATAGTTTTAGGTAACAGTAAGCTAAATTAGAATAACTAAATTTAAGAACTAATACTTTCACAATTTCCCTATATATTCAGGAGCATATGAAGTAGAGCGGAATCCGGTCCCTTTTCCAAGATATTCTTCAGTACAATCTCACAGGTGCTAATGTCGGGTGAGAGTCCAAGACTTGACATCTCTTCCAAATGCAATACAGCTTCACAATACTCATTCTTTTTCAGTAACCCACGGATGAATATATTGTATGCCACACTATTAGCCATGTAACCGTTTTTCTCCATTTTCTTGAGCATATCTCTAGCGTCCTCTAGAGAGCCTTCTCGGCAAAGTCCACTTATCATACTATTGTAGGTAAATTCATCGGGAAGAATTCCTTTAGAGGGAAGGGCATTAAATAGTTCTATTGCATCGCCAGCCTTCCCATCATTCCATAGTCCAATTATGACACTAGTATAACTAACTATATTGGGGGCAGGACTACGAGCTTCCATCATTCTCAATAAAGATAGCGCTTGAGGAACACGATGATTCTTACATAATCCATTTAGAATAATATTGTAGGTGAAGAGATTTGGATGTTCTTGATTTCTCACCATTTCCTTAAAAAGCTTCTCAGCATCCTCACATTTCCCATTGTGAAACAAACACGCCAACATAGTGTTGTACATATGAACATCGGGTTTTAAGCCTCGACTTTGTAAATTTCCAAATAATTGTACGGCCTGATCTGAACACCCGTTCTTGTAATATCCATTCATTAAAATGTTATAAGTGAAAATATCAGGGTCACATCCTTTATCTATCATGGTCTGTAGGAATTCCAACGCATTGTTCAGTTTTCCGTGTAAGCAGTATCCATCTATCAAAGCAGTGTATGTGATTGCATGAGGTTCCAGACCTTCTTGAATCATCATATCTATGAGTTTTGCAGCACTGCCAATCCATCCTTCCCTACAAAACCCAACAACTAGAATGGTGTATATATGGACATCGAGAGGTATTCTATAGTCAATCAATCTTTTCAGTAACTCTTCGACCTCTGCCCATCGACTGAATTTGCAGAGTCCATCGATAAGCGAACTATAGGTCACGACATCAGGAGGAAGACCGATTTCCATCATCTTCTCTAATAGGAGAAGAGCCTCGTCAACCATTTTATCCTTACCCAAGGAGTCAATAACGGCGCTATATGAAAATACATTTGGCTTGCAGTTTCCCTTTTCTTCAAATAAGTGAAGCAGCTTAACAGCCTTACTAGTTTGTCCTGCCTTGCAGAGGCCATCAATGACTATTAATAAAGTAACTTCATCTATCTCACACATTTTCTCATTCAATACCTTCTGGAACAACCAAACAGCATCTTGAACCCTATGTTGCAGAAAAAGTCCTTTCAGTAAACTGCTGAACAAAACCACATCAGGTACTAGGCCCAACTTCAAATGCATTCCCAAAACAGCAAATGCCAAATCTACTCTGTGCAAACGGGCAAGGGAATTGGCAGCAATGCTCAGTGTAAACTCGTTTATCAGAAGGCCAGAAGCAAAAATATCTTGAAACAGAGAGACAGCCCCGGGGTAACAACCCATCTTGACAACAGCAGTCAAGAGTTGGTTGAATTGGACGATGGGAGGACGGGGTCTCATTGTAACCATGTGACGGTACAAACCAATTGCATCTTCAAGCTTAATAATACTTGCAAACTTCAGTTTAGTGAGTTGAGAGTATGAATTTTGAAATTTTGACACATCAGCACTACCATGAAAACTACTGGAGAAGTTGAGGGGAAAGTGAGGGATGGATAAATGGACGTTACCCGGCGATAATGCTCTCCAGGCCCAACTGAAAAAGTGCCCGGCAATGCCATTCATTTTCTTCATTTTCAGGCAGGCTCTTAGCTGTGCAGGCCGGTCACGCTGGCAGTGTGTACCAAAGATTTAGGAGTCCGTCCACAGTACAACAGGATGTAGGGTTAGCACCCTCAAGTGCGCTGCATTTTTGTAATATAATGTAAAAATTGGGGTTGAATTGTGTAGTGTACTGAGTAATAGTCCAGTTTTAATGAGTATTAAGAGTCTAATTATGAGCATTATGTTATTACAAGAAAGTTGATATCACAACTAAAAAACGCTGACATTATCGCAATTTCAGTGAAAATCGTGGTTTTCATTAGATGAGCATTAATACACTATTAATGAGGACCAGACGTATTTTACTGAATGTTAAGATTCAAACAATGAGTATTGTGATATCAACTTCATATATTGTACCCGAGTAATTCACTTTCTTTCTCTTGTTTTATTCTTTTATAAAAATTCATGAAATTATATCTATAATCAACTTCTTTAAACTTCAGTATGCGAATTTAATGTAGTATGATACCTTTGAAATATCCATTGATATGTCATTTTAAAATGATGAGCATAATATCAGTATCAAATGAGCATACACAACTTTCAAAAGGCACATAAATATGAAAATCGTAAGGTTTGTTAGTTGGACGTCATGACATTTTCATTGAGCATCAAACCTTCTATATTGAGATGAAAATACTTGTTTATGTTAAATGAACATTAATAAACTTTTAATTAGCATTAGACTTATTCTGTTGATTATATCCACAATCAATTCTATGAAGTTCACTATGTGAATCTAATGTATATGATAGTTTTGAAATATATGCATTGATATGACAATTTAAAAATGAGCATAACATCAGTACCGAATGGGCATATGTAGCTTACAAAATAAGCATTAGTATGAAAATAATAAGCTTTATTAGTTGAGAATAAAGACATTTTTCATTGAGCATTAAACATCCTTTATTGGATACTAGAAGCGTGCAGTTGAGTACCGATTGACCATTTTTATACCAAGAATTCCAGTCCAACTGGTTATGAGGTTACCGTGCCTAGTCGGAGGTCTCAAGTTCGAATCCCGCTAGACACACAAGGGTTTGAAACTCAATTGAATGAGTTTCAACCCTGATTACCCCCAAGCCCCCCCCCCCCCCCCCAGCCCCCCAAAACCCCAATTGAGTGTATAAAAAAATCATAAGTTTTTTTAGTTGAGTGAGCATCAAGCCATTTTCATTGAACATCAAACATTTTCTATTGAATATTAGAATCATGCAATTGAGTATCATGATCTCTACTTTTGTCTCTATAATCAACTCTCATGTCAATCTAATGTAATATATGGTAATTTTGAAATATGCATTGATATGACATTTTAAATGAGCATAAACCCAATATCAGATGAACATATGTACCTTACAAAATGAGCATCAAAAAATTCAAATAGCATTTGAATTCTTAAAAATATGCTCACTTCTTTTAATCGTTATACTCATTCAAATACAAATAAACTCATTTCTATAATATGTACACGTAGTAGATGCTTTATTAACAATTTAATAAACTATTGTTATATATAACAATGAGAAATATACAAATGTTTAATTAAAAATAATTTATAGTCTTTTGTTCTTCAATTAGAAATATAATCGCGTGGTTTTTATAATATTTACTCATGCTCATTTGTTTTAAACTATACTCATTTAAGTATAACACAAAACTCATCTATATTTATATATATATAGTAAAACAGAAAAGTGCAGGGAAAATTTGGGCGGGAACACGCAATTTGGAACAAAAAATGACTTTACATGGTTCAAGAAATTTGTACCACCGAGAGATGGGATAATAATTAATGTAAATGTTTCTAACCATCCAGCTTCTCAAAATGGTATTATTACGTAGTATACTAGTATCTTTACTCGTGCCGTGCACAGGTTAAAACGATTTTGTTTTAATTTTACTATATATGTGTGTGCCCGCACACCTCATATATGTATGAGTAATTATAACTAACAGAAAGTCACTTAGTTAGCCAATTTTAACTAAAAGAGCCATTTTTTGTAACTCTCTCTTGTGCCCAAATGAATTTTGTCTTCTCAACCATCTAAAAAATTGTTTAATGCTTATTTTTAATATCAAAATATATCAAGATTTATGTTAATATTTAATATATACACTAAATTAAAAAATATTTAATATATACACTAAATTAAAAAAAAAATTACTCTTTCATAGATCAAATCAAAAAATTGATTCCAATTGAAAATATCTTTAATTAGAATGGTGAAAACAAATTTGAGATAACATTAACATAAATGTGTATTTAGAAAATATTAACACATGGAGTCTTATTTTCTACCTACGTGAAATATTTTATTTTTAGCTTTATTTTACTATGTAGAATGTAAGAAAAGATTTTAACGGTGCCGCTTCTACTCCATCACATCTAAAAAGCACAGGCTACTGAAAAAAGATGTCGATATCTAATTCAATAGTCATAGCACCCGGTACTTAGCTTGTGCAAAAAAAATACTTCGTACTATGTAACATTTTTGGACATAAACAGTGATATGAGACCATCAACTTTATTGATGCCATATTTGTTGTATCAACCAAAAATGATGATGAAGTAAAAAATGAATATGTGAATATGAGCGTCTTTCAAATAAAACATAATAAAGAAAGTAACAATTAAAATCTTAACCGCAATCAAAATCTAAATGACATTATTTAAATTATCCCGTGCACAGCACGAAAAAAACAATTTTGTTTTAATTTTACCATATATATGTGCGCCCGCACACCTCACATATGTATGAGTAATTATAACTAACAGAAAGTCACTTAGTTAGTCGATTTTAACTAATTACGTAAACTTGTTTCAGTCTATATTTTCCAACTAAAAGAGCCATTTTTTGTAACTCTCTGTTGCGCCCAAATGAATTTCGTCTTCTCAACCATCTTTATCTAAACAAAAAAATTGTTAAATTTTTAATGTCAAATTATATCAAGATTTATGTTAATATTCAATATATGCACTAAATTAAAAAAAATACTACGTATATAATATATACACTAATTTTAAAAAAAAAAGTTTTACTCTTTCATAGATCAAATCAAAAAATTGATTCCAATTGAAAATATATTTAATTAGAATGGTGAAAACAAATTTGAGATAACATTAACATAAATGTCTATTTAGCAAATATTAACACATGGAGTCTTATTTTTTTTTACCTACGTGAAAGATATTTTATTTTTTAGCTTTATTTTACTATGTAGAATGTAAGAAAAGATTTTAATGGTGCCGCTTCTACTCCATGACATCTAAAACCTATGTTGTCATTTACCAAGTATTATTGATAGCAAAAATAAATTTACACATGTCAAAAACGAAAACAATATGAAAAAGTGAAATACAAAATGTCAAAAATAATACAGGTTTATTTGGGCAAATAGAGTACAAATAAAAAAGTTGAAGGTATATAGACTGAAAATATTGAGTCTAGATGCTATTTCAAATTTATGTTCACCTTTCTAATCAAGGATATTTTCATTGGGATGTCACAAAAGTATATATTTTGAACTCTTTTTGTAAAGAAAGAGGTTGAGGGACTAATTGGTAAAATTCTAAAACCGAGAAGGCCTAATTTCTTCAATAAAATTGACTACACCTATTTTTAGATAAACAAATTACAAAAATATGTAGTTAGTTTTGAAAAAAACAATAAGCTACAGATGAAATTTAATGAACAAAAATACGCATTGAACATTTTCTTTGTTTTGTTTGGGATGCACTGAAAGAGTTATAAAAAAATGATCTTTTCATTGAAAAATATAGATTGCAAACATGTTTAGATAATTGGTGAAAAAATTAGACAAACTCGATAAATTTGGATTTTCATTATAAACCAATGTTATAATTGACTAAATAAGTGACTTTTCAATATTAAAATTAAAAGAAAAATCATTTCAAAACCAAAGTTTTTTTTTGTAAATTCAGGGTCGCAAACATGTAGCTTCTACTTTTTCCTCGCTTGTGTCCTTTATGCTTTCTAATTTTTAAGACAGTCTTAATTGGGTCGTTTTGTTGACTCAATTTGAATTGTCAGTTTTTGAATATATGCTTTAGAACTTAATATGCCTTTATTAACACTTACAGTCAATAAATAAAATGTCCCCTGATTATTGCATGAAATTACGTTATACAATAATGAAATCTTAATTTTAAAGCTTGGATTTATTTCAAAAAAGTTTTTTGTCTAAAAACTTCCATTTTTCCTATGTTCAAAATTCTTTTTATTTTTACATATGCAATATTGATGTCATATGAAAGCTAATAAAAAATCATGAATTTTGATATACTTCTTATAGTGAGAATTCTTTAAGACAATTTGAGTAGAATTCCAGTAGCTTATTTCTAAACTGACTATAATAACTCTAATTAATGGCAATACTAATCTAATTTTTTTTTGTAACTGGGAGGCTTATATTGATAATGAAACACTCAGCAAGGGACAATAATGATAAAGCAAGCACTTCCGGCCACCGACCCTCGAACCAGCTGGAGATTCAATCACCTTAAAAAAAGCAATGTGATTCGTTGATCCTATAATGGGTCTACTTGAGCCAAACGTGGCCAGAGTAAAAACCTCATCACCCTCACCTAGTGTAAAAGTCTGAAAGAACAAAACCACAGTAATCGAAAGGAAAAAGAATTGAGAGCAAAAAATAAACTCAAAAATAAACAACACGTGGGAATTAAAAAGCATCCTGAAACAGAAGAACGAGCACCAGCACCCTTCCTATTTTCACTCCTCTTCAAAGTACTCGGCGGGTCGAGGCGTCTGAGCCCGCCCCTCCCCCGTTTTTTGAGACATCCAGGGCCATGGTTTCACCTTCTTCTCTTCCACCACTAGCTTCCTCCCAAGTCCGCCTGCATTTTGGCTCCCCACTCTTATCCTCCAAAGCCACTGCTTCCGCATTCCACTCTTTCCTGTTCGGGTCCGGATTGCCTCCCACCTCATGAGCTGCCTTGCCATCTTCCTTTGGTCCTTCTGAGATTATCCATTTGTTTCCCCCCTCCATTCGTGCCTTCCCC